TACCTATGAATTAAGAGGCATTGTTCACTCTTACTTTCTAATTACATGTACAGTCAATGCATCAGATGAAAGCTTATCTTCCACTCTTTTGAACGGTCTGCTCAGTTTGTTTCTAGCATAAAGTATCAGGGAGATATGGCTCAGGATTCATGAATATAATCAAACCGTTTTAGCATGTTTGGCTGATTCCGGGGAGTTAAAGCAGAATTTGAGGTAGCATTGTTTTGACCCTAATTCCAAGTTTCCAGCAGCTTGTTCACCGGGTTGTCCACCCAGGTTGTGATCGGGTGTGAGCTGATTTCAATTGTGAGCTAGGTGTGAAATCACGGTCAAAAACAATACGGTTTTTGTTTATTTTAGGCATCCTTCGACAGTTGGTGCCTGGCTTGATTTAACATTGCTACGCAGAAATATGAGCCACTATTTAGTGGATTTTGTGCTGACCACTAAGAAGCCAGTGTTGGAACTATTCCTTTATGGCTTTTGTAAATCTATGGGGAGCAGGTTTTGCCTAGGTTGATACACAATTTTATACTTCCCATTCTAAAGGCATGTTCACAAAAGGAACTGTGTAAATAAACAGATCTATATTGACAAATGAACGTTGTCCACACAGCGTGCAGAAACATTGTTTGTTCTGTTGTACCACTTGAAACGTTTCTAAAAGTAGCATTCCTTGATCAAACTGTGTGTTATTGTTATACGCTAACCTGTCAATTATTAGGTGCACCTGCTTGTTAACGCAGATCTAATTAGCCAATCACAGGGCAGCATCTTGACGCGTTCAGGCCTTTAAATGCCTCGCTGAAGTCAGAGGAGAATGGCCAGACTGGCTGGAGCTGATAGAAAGGCAACACAACAGTCACCTTGTTACAACTGAGGTATGTAGCAAAGCTTCTCTGAACCCACAGCACGTGGGTTTGTCATTGGAGGTTCTAATTCGAATGAAATGTAAGGTTTAATCCTGTTTGTTTGTGCTTTGTTTTTGTGAAGGTCCAAGATTGGAAGTGCCTGTTGAAAACGGTCTAGATGAGGATAAAGCCCTGGAAGTGGTTTCTTTGCATGTCAATGGGAAGCCACAGAAACTTCCAGAACAGGCCCGCAATTTGCTTTTGTGTTATTTTTATGCTAAATGGCATCACTGCGTTTGTCACCTGTCCTCTACCTCACATTCTTCCGTTAGGTTCTCCTTTGGTGGTTTCTCTGATTGGAGCTCTGTTGAGGGAGTTCCCTGACCGCTGGAGCTTTTATCTTTGGCTGCTTTTTGGAGTATGTAGGATCTTCTAAGGATTACTCTTCCATTCTGAAAATGTTTTTTAATCCTTTATTTGTAATGTTTTTTTTTTTTTAGGAGCTTTACTCCCTGATGTTTTCCTTGGACTGGGTCAACGAAAAAAGCTCAGGTTATGGGATCCGCCCATCTCATCAACGACAATGTAGAATATGGCGAAATACTAGACAAAGAGGGATTTATACAGTTTGTTCGATTTGCTGATGTTCCTCAATAGTACGTTTTGATGAGCAATTTACATAGTTGTAATGTCCATAGAATGCAACTTGTATAAAAAGGCCTGTAATGTTGTTTTTCCACACAGAATAGTGAGGCGAGACTGCAGTTTCAGGAGTTCCTCTCTCTGAACGGACATCAGCTGGAGCAGAGGGCAGCTCTATCTGGACTGGGTGTATGTATCCCTCTCAGACTGCATCATCCAGTGGCTTTGGTGTAGTGAATGACATTTTGATTGAAAGTGTGACTTGACACCTTTAGGAAGAAAAATGGCTGGTTCCCGGCTGGTCGCGCATCCTCACCAGAGGTCCTTGTACTGTGCTTGCTTCTCCAAAGATGGGATCAAGATTGGCTCTTACGGAGATGTCGCGGGTAAATATGTTTGTGTCCTGACGCTGTGAACAGTTGAATGTGACTCTAATATACATGTCCTCATTAGGTGTTCGAAACAACTTCTGGAGAGGAACTTGTGGAGCTTCAGGCTCAAAACGAACGTGGGCTCTTTTGTATATCCGGCAGCTGTTGTGCACGAATGAAAGGTAAAGGTTTAATGAAGGTTTCTCTTTCAGTACTCGGGCTGTCAGAAAAGATAAATATACCGTGTTGGGTGATTTGCTTGTGCTCATTTGTTCCGTTGTACGCATGTAGGTGTTTGACGTCGACACATCAGAGCTGCTGCTGGAGCTGAAGACGAGCCCGATTCAGTATTGCGACGCATGTCCCAACAGCAGCCCGCTGGCCGTCGCTCTCTCTCTCTCTCGTTACACTGTCGAGGTACGCCACACCGCAGCACAGCGCTAAAATGTGCAGATTAAGTGCAAGCGTTTCCAAACCTAATTGTTGTCTTCTAACTCTGGGTGTTCAGCTGTGGAACCAGTAAGAAGGAAGCCGAACGCAACGGTCGTCGTGTCCAGTTTTCACCCGACGGCTCACTGCTGCGGTCCTCTTCTGAGGATCAGACGGAGTAAGCTAGCTTTGGTCCCTCTGTTCCTGTTGAAGGTGAAAAGAATTCCATTGAATTGACTAATCGAAGTTGTTTTCCATTGTCTGAAGGTGTTTGTTCCATCTGGGAAAAACGGTGAAGCTCTCGGGTCACACTAGGACGGCGAAACCCTCGTCACACGTGGATCTGTGAAGACGCTACTGAACCAGAGAAAGATGTAATGTGTCGATGTGTGTGCAAATGAATAAAAATGTGAATGAAATGTGTTATTTTTGTAGCTCCGTTTGTATGCATTTTGTATTTGGAAAGGCCGACTTGTAAAATGATGTACGTTTTGCAATTGTAAATGGCTTGTGTTCATTGGAATATAAAGTGAATGAACACCAAGGCGAAGTAGTCTGTATGTTCTTGATGAATGTAAGCGGAAATGTTTGTGGCTTATCGAATGCGAGAGGGAAGAGGACTCTGACGCACAGGAGCGCACACGCTCCGTCTGTTCCCGTCGGCAGCTGTTATTGATCTGTGCTTGTGCAAGTTCAGATCAGTAACGCTGATTAGTCGCTTTGTAAAAGAAATGCAAAAGCTATCCTAATGGAAAAAAGCTGTCTTTGGTTTTGATTGTAGCAATGGATTCAAAGGCTGTGAATTTTTGACTGGGAACACAAGCGGTCTAGTGCTTCCAATGTTTGATCCCCAAGTATAGCGATTGGGCTACAGGGAAGAAAGATTGGAAGCACTAGCAAAGATTATTGTGTAAGTCATTCCTGAGTCACACCAGAAGAAAATGTCTCCAGCAAACCATCCCACGTTTCTGAACTTCTGAACATTTTGGACCTGTCGTTGAAATCTGCAGTCTGCACTGAGATTTGAATGAGATATCCAAAATGCTTAGTGTTTGGGCTGCTTTGTTGGAGGGATTTGTCTCTTTTTGTGGTGCGTCTGAGGAATGGCTTGTACAATGATCTTTTGTTGGTACCTCTAGTGCGGTGGTTCTCAACTCCAGTCCTCACGACCCGCCGCTCTGCGTGTTGTGCGAGTGTCCCTTATTGAACGCATCCGATTCAGACTTGAGCTGAGGATCTGAATGGGCTGTGTCGATAAGGGAGACTGGCACGACGTGCAGAGCGGTGGGTCGTGAGGACTGGAGTTGAGAACTCCTGCACTGCATGTAGCAAAAGGATTGTTGTCCAAGTCGTTCTCGAGTCACACCGGCAGAAAATCTCTGGAGCGAACCATCCCACATTTGCCAAGTACTAAACGTTTGGGCCGTGTCATTGAAATCCGCAGTCTGCACTGGGATTTGAATGAGATGGTCCAAATGTGTAGTGGTTGGTTGGGATGGTTTGTTTGAGGGATTTGTCTTGCAGTTTTTTTGGTGGTGTCTCTGAGGAATGATTTGTCCAACAATTTGTTTTGCTACTTGTAGTGCAGTGGTTCTCAACTCCAGTCTTCTGTGTGTGTCCCTTATCGTGCACAACTGATTCAGATCCTCAGCTCATTTGTGAATCTGGTGTGTTCAATAAGGGAGACGTATGCAGAAGACTAGAGTTGAGAACCAATGCGCTAGAGGTACCAAAAGTTATTTTCGAGCAAAACAGGCCCAAAAAAAAAAAAAAAAAAAAAAAAAAAAAAAAAATCCAAACAAGTTCCCATCCCACGTATCCCAACCACTACATGTTTTGGACGTTTCATTCAAATCCCTGCTCTGGGATTAGTTTGAACGTATCAAAATGTGTAGTGGTTGGGATACTTGGGGAAGGGGAATTTGTATTTTTTTTGGATTTCTTTTTTTTTTTTTTTTTTTTGTTGTCTGTTTTGCTTGAAAATAACTTTTGGTACCTGTAGTGCAGTGGTTCTCGACTCTAGTCCTCTGCATGTCTCCCTTACTGTGCACAACTGATTCAGCTCATTTCTGAATCTGGTGTGTTCAATAAGGGAGACCTATGCAGAAGACTAGAGTCGAGAACCACTGCACTACAGGTACCAAAAGTTATTTTCAAGCAAAACAGGCAAAAAAAAAAAAAAAAAAATTCCAAAAAACTTCCCATCCCACGTATCCCAACCACTACACGTTTTGGACGTTTCATTGAAATCTGCTCTGGGATTTGTTTGAAATGGTCAAAACGTGTACTTGGGATACTTGGGATGGGTTTTTTTTTGGATTTTTTTTTTTTTTTTGCCTGTTTTGCTTGAAAATAACTTGGTACCTCTAGTGCAGTGGTTCTCGACTCTAGTCCTCTGCATGTCTCCCTTACTGTGCACAACTGATTCAGCTCATTTCTGAATCTGGTGTGTTCAATAAGGGAGACCTATGCAGAAGACTAGAGTCGAGAACCACTGCACTACAGGTACCAAAAGTTATTTTCAAGCAAAACAGGCAAAAAAAAAAAAAAAATTCCAAAAAACTTCCCATCCCACGTATCCCAACCACTACACGTTTTGGACGTTTCATTGAAATCTCTGCTCTGGGATTTGTTTGAAATGGTCAAAACGTGTACTTGGGATACTTGGGATGGGTTTTTTTTTGGATTTTTTTTTTTTTTTTGCCTGTTTTGCTCGAAAATAACTTGGTACCTCTAGTGCAGTGGTTCTCGATTCTAGTCCTTTGCATGTCTCCCTTACTGTGCACAACTGATTCAGATCCTGAGCTCATTTCTGAATCTGGTGTGTTAAGTAAGGGAGACGTGAAGAGGACTAGAGTGGAGAACCACTGCACTAGAGGCACCAAAGTATTACTCGACCAAAAAAAAAATCCAAAGGAACTTTGTTTTTCCACGTATCCCAACCACTACGCATTTTGGGCATTTCATTCAAATCCCTTGATTGGGGTTTGTTTGAAATGTTCAAAATGTGTAGTGGTTGGGATACTTGGAAAAACGAAGTTCTTTTGGATTTTTTTTTTTGCTTTTTTTGGTCGAGTAATACTTGTATATATATATATATATATATATATATTTCTAAAAAAGGGAACAATGGGGGAAAACCTAAGTCGACTTGACTCCTCAGAATTTTTTTTTTTTTTTTTTTTTTAAGTTTTTTTTTTATTGTTTTTTTTTTTTTTTGGTTTATTTTTTTTTTTGGTTTATTTTTTTTTGGGGTTATTTTTTGTCACCTCCCCAATCCACTTGATTCAGTCTGGTTCATGTATTGCCTCATTAAACATTACAACTTCTACATGTGACATCATTTATTTCAAGCATTCATACACCTTTGATTACACCATTCACTTTTGTTTTCATTCCTTCTATGCTAAAGTGCTTATAAAATGCACTACATAAATAAATCAAATTAGTACCTACCCTACAGTGCTTATGAAATGCATGACATAAAAAAAATGATTACCTACCCCTACAGTGCTTATGAAATGCATGACATAAATAAAAGTCTAAAGTGCTTATAAAATGCACTACATAAATAAATAAAATTAGTACCTACCCTACAGTGCTTATGAAATGCATGACATAAATAAAAGTCTAAATACACCATATTATATACCTATTTGCTCATGTAGCAGCCAACACATTCATTTCCTTTTGGGATGGAAACATCAGGCAGGTCCTACATCAGCACGAGCCACCTTCCTCTTGCCGTGGGTCTGTGCAGATGCTTTACCGTGTAAGGGAGGACGTCCAAATCACACGGCTACGTTCTCACTCGTTGCATGGAAACAGGTGCCCAATCGTGTTCCTGGCCACTCCTACAAACAACTAACTAACAAACATCATTTGTCAACAAATATCAATTCTACAAAACAGGACTTTCATTAAGGTTACTTCACTGTAGCAAGGGACATCTTGATGTACAGGTTTCAAATACATTCTCACCACTTATGTTCTGCTGAAACATTGCTGGAGGGAGAATAAACAAACAAACAAACACTCACTTTCTCGAAACATTACATAACCCATCATATCAGCCCACCCAAAACAACACTGACTCGACTTTTTTCCTTTGATGTTTGGAATAGAGCAGGTGATACATTGATTACTCAAGCAAGCACACACATCATTTGGACAACTAAACACACTTCAAAGCATTTTTTTTTTTTTACAAAAGCAACCTTTTTGGCCTGCCCACCATAACACAAAATTAATTTTAACCACTGATTACCCCTAAAAGTCTGGGTCCTAATCCCAATCCTGCTCCTAGAGAGCAATTGTCCTGCACAGTTCAGATCCAACACCAATTCAACACACCTAAACCAACCAAACAAGGCCTTTCCAGGCAGGTAAGTCGAGCTCATAGATACAGTGCCCTCCACAATTATTGGCATCCCTGTTTAAGATATGGTCGAGGACTTCTCAAAATTCTCCTTTTTTTTTTTAAACATACAACCCAAATGCAAAAGAAAGACAAAACTCCAGCCTTTTATTGAAGTACATTACTTTGGTGGTTCAGAAAGATCACACAT